GAATTGATAAGTGATCAAGTTTAGATTAGAATTGATAAGTGATCAAGTTTAGATTGGAATTGATAAGTGATCAAGTTTAGATTGGAATTGATAAGTGACCAAGTTTAGATTGGAATTGATAAGTGATCAAGTTTAGATTGGAATTGATAAGTGACCAAGTTTAGATTGGAATTGATAAGTGATCAAGTTTAGATTGGAATTGATAAGTGATCAAGTTTAGATTGGAATTGCTAAGTGACCAAGTTTTAGATTGGAATTGATAAGTGATCAATTTTAGATTGGAATTGATAAGTGATCAAGTTTAGATTGGAATTGATAAGTGACCAAGTTTAGATTGGAATTTAAAAAGGGATCAAGTTTAGATTGGAACTGATAAGTGATCAAGTTTAGATTGGAACTGATAAGTGACCAAGTTTAGATTGGAATTGATAAGTGACCAAGTTTAGATTGGAATTGATAAGTGACCAAGTTTAGATTGGAATTGATAAGTGATCAAGTTTAGATTGGAATTTAAAAAGGGATCAAGTTTAGATTGGAATTGATTAGTGATCAAGTTTAGATTGGAATTGGGGGAGGTTTTTCTCTAGAGCACCAAGTGACACTTGACTGAAGTTTCATGCACCTACTGGATGAATTTCATTCGCTCACGTGGTGAATTTAGTGGATCAGAAGGACTTTTTTTATTCAATTACAATTTTGTTTTGGTGGAGTTATTTGAAGTATTTATGTGTTTGATGACTTGGAATTGTACCTTAGATTGTACGCCCCTTGAGGGTTAGGGACTGATGTGAATATACAATATATATATATATATAAAGCGTTGAGTAAATTGCGCGCAGCACTATATAAGTACCTGAAATAGTAAGTATTTAATATCATAGATTTTTATATATTTATATTTATTTGCTATAGCACAATATTTAATTGTATATTTATTTTTTGAAAAATAGGAAAAAACCTCCCGCGCTGCCACTACACACTGATAATAAGATCTAGGGAAGCAGCAAGCGCCCAGCTATATACCATAAAAGAGAAAATGCAGAAAAAAAGGGGAATGGTGCTGCATGTTATAAGCAAGCATTTTTGCTTATAACATGCAACTTTTCGGGGTTCTCTGTGCAAGTGTGTTTTAACCAGTTGCTGCCTGGCATATAGCCAGATGGCGGCCGGGCGAACAGCTTGTCCCTCTGGGTGGACGCCATATGGCATCCTTTCCGGAATGCGCAGTGCGCATACCCGCAGGGCCGCATTGCAGCGCGATCTGTCATCGACCGTGACACGGGAGATGACAGATCCGTGTACCGACCCGTTGCCAGTATCATGTGACCTGCTGTGACCAATCACAGCAGGTCACATGACAGTTGTATACAATGGATGGCTTCTGTTCATGCCATCCGTTGTATATAAGTGTGTCTAGCTGTGAATGGTCACAGTGATCACATGCACAAGCTGGGCCAATCGCAGTCCAGCTGTGTCATGTGATTAGCCATGGCCAAATCACAGCTTAGCACAAAAAAAAAAACCCTGAATAAACCAATTTCATTCAGGTAAATGCTTGCTTATAGCAAAGTAATTATTTGCTATAAGCAAATTGTGTAAAAAAAAAAATACTGATCACTTCCCCAAAGTAGTACAATGTTAGTATGGTAAAATTATACTACTTTGGTCATAGTGAAATATGAAAAAAACAATCTTAAAAAAAAGAGAAAAAAAATTTAATAAACAATTAAAAATAATAATAAAAAAATCTTTTTTTTTTTTTTTTGTACTGTCACCAGTCAGTGTCCCTGATCACCACCATGCCAGTTATATGCTGACGCTTTACTGTACTGGTGACAGTATGTAAAAAAAAATTGTGGAAATCATATTTTAAATTCTTCTTTATTCCGAAAAATTATGACAAAAAAATTACAACTTCAAAAAATTCTCTTATGAAATATGTCGGACTGTCTATTTTGCAAAAATGGGTCATTTTGGGGATTTCTGTTCTGATATTCTTGGACCTCAAGAAATCAGATACTTCAGGATTGATCGATTTTCAGATCTATACCATAGTTTGTGAACTCTATAACTTTCCTACAGACTAAATAATACATCCTAATTTGGGTTATTTTCACCAAAGACATGTAGCAGAATACATCTCGGCCTAAATTTATGAAGAACAATTATTTATTTGCAAACTTTTATAACAGAAACAATGAAAAATGTGTTTTTATTTTACAAAATTTTTGGTCTTTTTTTGTTAATTTAGCAAAAAATAAAAACCCCGGCGGTGATTAAATACCACCAAAAGAAAGCTCTAGTTGTGTGAAGAAAATGATAAAATTTTAGTTTGGGTGCAGTGTTGTATGACCACGCAATTGGCATTCAAAGTGTGAGAGCGCTGAAACGTGAAAATTGGCCCGGGCAGGAGGTGGGTAAAAGTGGCCGGTATGGAAGTGGTTAATAAAGGAGACATTTTTATACTGGCCTGCACTCACTTCATATAACCAACAAAAATTAAGGGGAACCCCATTTTCTTTCTATTTCCTTAAACACTATTGGAAAGTTGTTATCAACACAGAAAAGAATCCTAAACTTTCCTCAAGTAGTGACACAACAGAAAGAGAGAAAAATGGAATTTTGGGATTTTTTCGCAGCCACAAAAATGGAAACAAGAATGAGACAATAGGACGAGCGGATAGTGATGATTACGAAGAGATTTTCCAGACTGCATCTACCAGTGGGCAACAGTGTGAAGGCTTTTCAACTGCTCCAGGTTCACCATCTGTAAATTCACGTTCTCTTGCTTGGGGGCATCATTTTCACTGAGCAATATTTCTGACATTTGTACTAGAACCGAGGTGAAGAAACGTAGAGCACCTCCACCTCCAAAGCCAGCACCTCAAATTAATGCTGCTGTAAAAACTCCAGAAAACAAGATAACAGATCCTCTTTATGCCACTGTTCAGAAGTAACAGAAGAAAAAGAAAAGAAGAGCTCCACCCAGGGGCGTATTTACCACAAGGCAAACAAGGCACTTGCCTAGGGCGGCATTTTTTAGGGGGGCAGGACCTCCTCCAAGAAGAAGGAATGAAAGAAGGGACACGTGCACCATGAGAATCAGGTGGGATCCGAGAGAAGCTGCGGGCTGCTTCATGGAGTATGTAGAGCCTGACTCTCATTCCCGGGGATGTCTGGAGCTGTGAAGATGAGTGACTCTCTATCACTGAGGGGGGGTAGTGAAAGGCTCTCCTGGGTGGGGAGCAGGGGTGTTTTTTGGTCAATGTCAGGCTCTCTGGGGCAGGGGGTTGTGTTGGTCGGTGTCCGCGGGGACAGATGATTTTTGTGTTGCCTAAGACAGCACAAAACTTAAATACACCTCTGGCTCTACCGCCACCAACTCCTCAAATGCCAAAATGAAAAGAATAAAGATCTAGAGGAAAGGAAAAGCTTGATAAGGATTCTTTGAGTTGGCTGTGCGGTGCATTTTTTCCATGAGGGGGATACCACCACGGTTGCTGACGGTTGATGCAGATTAGTGCGCAAGGCCCCTTTGCTGATCTGTTTGGCGTTGAGCTCCCTGAAAGGGCAATGGCCCCTAGGGGTGACAACGTGGAGGTGAGAAGGCAATTTAGCCAGTGATGGATTGCTTGTCATACTGATACTGCACTACCACCGATCAAGTTTACTTGGGAGTCTAATTATCGGACTTTACATGTATTAATGTATTGTGGACTATTGCACAATTTTGGGATTTATTCACCATTCGTGGCAATACATATGCCATTATATTATGTGGTTTTGTGTTCATTTTTTATTTATTATTTTCTTCCACCATTTATTTATTGTGATATCTTTGTTATTTCACATTTAGTCCCCCACTGGGATATATTCACTTTGCATTCTTCATATATTGATTATTGGTAGACTTTTCCAGTTATCTGTATAATTCACTATCCTTTTTACTGGCCACACTTGTACAGCGCACTTATAAAGTTGAAGACGGTTTTGTTTTACTTATTATTATTATACAGGATTAATGCGTCAGCGGTTTGCTCAGCGCTTTACAATATAACAGGAGACAATACAGCAACAATACAGTTCAATACAAGAGGGTTAGGAGGGCCCTGCTCCTCGGAGCTTACAATCTAAGAGGGAATAGCTGAGGGCAGGATAGGCTTCCCTGAAGAGATAGGTTTTCAGGGATCGCCTATAAGTGGGCAGAGTAGGCAATAGTCTGATGAATTGGGGTAGAGAGTTCCAGAGGATGAGGGAGGCTCTGGAGAAGTCCTGGAGATAAGCATGGGAGGAGGAGACAAGGGAGCTAGAGAGCAGGAGGTCGTGCGAGGAGCAGAGAGGACGGTTTGGGTGATATTTGGAGACAAGATTGGAGATGTAATTTGGGGCAGAGTTATAAATGGCTTTATATGTAATTGTTAATATTTTGAATTTTATCTGTTGGGCAATGGGGAGCCAGTGGAGGGATTGGCAGAGAGGGATGGAGGACACTGAGTGGAGGTCAGTGGAGGGATTGGCAGAGAAGGGTGGAGGACACTGAGTGGAGGTCAGTGGAGGGATTGGCAGAGAGTGGTGGAGGATACTGAGTGGAGGTCAGTGGAGGGATTGGCAGAGAGGGGTGGAGGACACTGAGTGGAGGCCAGTGGAGGGATTGGCAGAGAGGGGTGGAGGACACTGAGTGGAGGCCAGAGGAGGGATTGGCAGAGAGAGGTGGAGAACACTGAGTGGAGTTCAGTGGAGGGATTGGCAGAGAGGGGTGGAGGACACTGAGTGGAGGCCAGTGGAGGGAATGGCAGAGAAGGGTGGAGGACACTGAGTGGAGGCCAGTGGAGGGATTGGCAGAGAGAGGTGGAGGACACTGAGTGGAGGCCAGTGGAGGGATTGGCAGAGAGGGGTGGAGGACACTGAGTGGAGTTCAGTGGAGGGATTGGCAGAGAGGGGTGGAGGACACTGAGTGGAGTTCAGTAAAGGGATTGGCAGAGAGGGGTGGAGGACACTGAGTGGAATTCAGTGGAGGGATTGGCAGAGAGGGGGTGGAGGACACTGAGTGGAGGTCAGTGGAGGGATTGGCAGAGAGTGGTGGAGGACACTGAGTGGAGGTCAGTGGAGGGATTGGCAGAGAGGGGTGGAGGACACTGAGTGGAGGTCAGTGGAGGGATTGGCAGAGAGGGGTGGAAGACACTGAGTGGAGGTCAGTGGAGGGATTGGCAGAGAGGGGTGGAGGACACTGAGTGGAGGCCAGTGGAGGGATTGGCAGAGAGGGGTGGCAGATACAGAGCGGTTAGTAAGGTGAATGAGTCTGGCAGAGAGGCATTGGTCTCTGCCAATGCCTCTCTGCCAGTGTCCTCTACCCCTCTCTATCAGGCGATCGCCTACTCTGCTCACTTTTAGGCGCACTCTGAAAACCCATCTCTTCAGGGAAGCTTACCCCACCCCCAGCTAATACTGGAATCCTCTACTCTTCCTACCACTCCATGCCCCACAGCTAATTACCTTTTGTACCACTATCCCCTCCCTCTTAGATTGTAAGCTCCAAGGAGCAGGGCCCTCTAATCCCTCGTGTATTGAACTGTATTGTTACTGTACTGTCTCCCTCCATAATGTAAAGCGCTGAGCAAACTGTCGGTGCTATATAATTCCTGTATAATAATAATAATACACACTCTTCACCTGCCTTAGTACAAATCTATTTGCATTTTGTTCTTCCAGATTGAATATTTTAGTTCATATCAAAGCTCGATGGATATCAATTATTATCAACTCCAACAGTAAAGCCTACTGTAGACGGTTCGAATCTTAGCTGGTTTACCAGGGACTGGGCAAGATTTGAACCATGTATGGGCAGGCTGAATGTACTGAAGTTGATCAATCGACCATCTTGGGTGCAAGCAGGCTGTTGGATATTACATACAATTATTGCTAGTGGGTATTATAGCCATTAACAGTACTGTGTTCTCCTGGCAGGGACGGCTCCCTCCACCAGCTGCAATGGCTCCACAGGATGGGGGAATCGAGTGATTTTCTTTCCTGCAACCCGTGGTTGCAGAAAAGAAAATCACTGTCTCCTCTATGATGATAGCTACTCCTGAGAATTGGGAGAAACCATGAGGGGAGTAACTTTTTTGATAACTTCAAGCACCCCTCTACCAGGGTGGTACAAGCTTGAATGCCTAATGTGCTGACCTGGTAATGTTGGAGAAAAAGCAGCAAGCAAACACTTCTTTTAAAAAAACTATTTTTACTCAGAATTCACTGTTCATGGAATCCTCTAGTCTGGGTCAGATCTCGATTTTGGAGAAGAGGTTCACTAATCTCTAGCTGCTATGGTTCAGTGACACCTTGCACAGTCAGTATCCAATCATAACATTTTTTATGGTGGTTCCAAAGCCTAAAAAGCCAATTAAACAAGTCTGACTCAAAAAGCACAACATATTATACTGCCTTCTAATTTCTATAAGTCATTGAATTGATAAATATTTGGTTTAAAAGTTTGCTTTACATTGAATATTTTTCTTCTGATATCATGTTTGGTTTGGTCATAAATTGGGTTGGTCTCCATGTGCCAAGGTAGATAACAGTCTTTGAGCTATTATATTCAGTAGGCCAAGATTATTATTACTAAGTCAACATTCCCATGTCTGCTGTTTATTTCCCTAACATTGAGCATATTTTCTCACTTTTTAGTTCGATAATTACAAAAGGTTTGAAGTTGCTGAATGTCTCTGAGAATAGAAAGGAAGATCAAGGTTACATTCCTTACAGTTTATTTATTGGTTTCTAGATTTGCCCTTTTGGGTGCAGCCTGGAAGCATCATAGTTTATGACGAGCTTCAAATCAGACACGACATGTTGAGGACATGAATAGCGCATCGTCCTTGGCTAGCTGATGGGTTTTCACAATTTGATGTTATTAAACTGAATTATTATTATTAGACCTTATGGGATGTGAGAAGAACTAGGGAATAAAAACTGGATCTAAATTTGAAATGTATCATCGAGCATATTGGTGGAGGAATGGTGTCACAAAGTCCTGAATTATATACTTCTAGGAAGGTTTTCCTCTACAGTCAGAGTACAGTGCCCTCAGTATGATGTTGCTAATGAAGTTATTCATACAAATATATATTATATTAGGGATGTATAATTGAAATATATATGCCAACAGAGAATTTCAGGAAAATAGGAAAATATGGAATTCAACATCCTACTTGAGTTTGACATAAGACGTTTTTGTGTGTCCAAGAGAGCAAGGCAATGTACCAGATTTGACTAATTCCCACCTGATTGCTATTGATTCTTAAAACACACTAATTTAATTTCATAAAACAATGATTAACACGTATTAAAAACAAATAGTCGTTAAATCCATACAAATAGCAGTTTACCCAGGTACCAAACATGTAGCATATACTTAGACACTTAAGCTGGCTGGTCTGTTTAGCAGGAACCAGATGAATTTTGATCCATGTATGGCTGTTCCCACTTGAGTGTGAATGTTGGAGAACCTTTGGCAATGGCACAACCACAGATGGCTACAGAGTTTTTACAGAGATGACATCACTGACAAGAGCAATGTCCTTTCATTGGTGACTCTTGTCAATGGTGTCATCTCTGTAAACATTCTGTAGCCTTTTGTGGATTCCAGACAGCCCGTGCCCACCCCTCATCAAGAACTCAATGACAGCACATTGTTTCTGCTTGGAATCCAATATTTACCTGCAATGAAGAAGACTAATTACTATAGAGAAAGAGTTAGAGTTACTCTACCAACTTGTTAAGTTTGAACGATCTATGTGAATTATTCAAAAATAGTGATGGGGAGGCGCATGTGCGTGCTCCGGCAAGATGGCCACTTAGCCGTGTAGCTCCATGCCATGGCTACCTAATCCGGCCCAATACAGCATTCCCAGCACTCTGCATGGCTGGTGGCACTGGTCGCCGAGCCTGGTCCCGGCCACTTCGAGACCTTCCCAGTCGGATTCCAAGATGGCTGCCACACCACCGGAGGCTGACATGACGTAGTCCTATGCTGATGAGGGGGGCAGGTTTGTGGATAGGTGTGCGGGCTCCTCTTCACCTCTCACTAATATACCACACCCAGGGGTGTCACAGCCTCTACAGAGTCCCTCCTGGCCTGCACATTTTGCTGTTTCCTGGACTCGCAGCCAGTCTCCCTGCCCCCTAGCCCAGACATGGCTGCAATGTCCCCAAACCACTCCCCGCAATTTTATATGGGACATCAAGCATTATTAACTAAATTTTCTGAAATTTTGGAGCAAGGCTTTGCTAGAACAGCGGCGCAGATTGCTGTCTGCAGTACAAACAAATGACCGATGCTCGAGTCGACCTTATGTTCAACTCGAAAATCTAGCCCATCTCTATTAAAAAAGTTATACCTACTTTTGCATTACTTAGCTTTAATACTTAGTACTTTGCTCAAGAGCCTTCAGCTCTGATGTAAGCAGTGAGCTGGCACTTAGGAGGAGTTAGGCAAATATCAAAATGCCTTTATAGGTGGGTGTCAGTCTGGAAGAGTGGGTGTTGCTTGTTTTCAGGCCACCCTAGCTAATGTCTGCAAGTGATGCTGAGCATCCATGATTAGAAAAATTTAAATCCAATAAATTAAAGGATTGGGTCAGGGACAGTCAAGCTAGGGGGGTAGAGCTAGATCAGTGGCCTCCAAACTATAGCTCGGGGGGGGGGGGATGCTGCCATTTTCTTGCTTTTATCTTACCCTTGGGGCATTAGTCATCCCACTGATATGAGGCACTTTCCACTGACACCAACATTGAGGTAAAATTCTTACCCTGCCACTGACAACAACAATGGGACACTATTCCCCCCACTGACACCACCAATCGTGTACTATTCTTCCCATCAACACCAACTATGGGGCACTATTCCTTCACCAATACCATAGGTGGGCAATGTTTACTCCCAATGGTTCCAGGACATGTTCGACTTCCACTGGTCATAGTCCAGCCCTCCTAAAGTCTGAAGGACAGTTAACTAGCCCTCTGTTTTGAAAGTTTGGAGACCCTTGAGCTCGATGATACTGGACGTCCACCAGCCAGGAAATGAGGGGCGCTCTATCAGACTTGTTGCAGCTTCTAATGCACATTGTGAGAAGCTTACAATGTGCAGTTAAATCAGATTCAGCAGTTTTTATACAGGAGAGGAACCTGTACAACTGAGCAAGACTGAAGGCTGGAGATCATCTTTAATCATTGTCTTATAAATGGATATAAATGAAGAAGAGAAATCCTCGTAGGCTCATCTATCCCAAATTTCTAGAGAAAAGCCTTTTATTACTGGTTCCAATCTAATAGGATGAATTTTTTGTAGTACTGGCCACAGACAGCCAGAAAACTGTCTGCTGTAAGGAATAAAGACTTTATTGAAGGAGAATTGCTATTGCAGCTGTTAAGCACTTGTTACGTTTGACTACAGCATTCCAACACAGGATTGAACACTTTGTTCACTGAACTTTTTATAAAGAAAAAAGTTGTGTAACTGCAAAATCACTGTTAAGCTTTCAAAAGTTAAATTTTTTTCCCTCTTCCACCACCACTATTGTCCTCAGGTGGATAGATAAAAGACTGTAATGGATGCTACGATTGTCATTTATTGTCTAATGGGATATAAGAAATGTCAACTAGGACCCAAAAACAACAACAAGGAATCACCTCTTCACCAACAAGGCCAACTCTGCTACACCCACACTAATACTTAATCAAAGAAGAGTGCATGGCTGGTTCATTTTTTTATGTGATTCTATTTCTTGCAGATAAGTTATAGAAAGTTTACAAGGTGTCCAAGAATTCCGCAAGTGATAGCAAGCTCTTCTGAGGGAAGCCATGAACAGCTAAATAATGGTGAATGATACAAAAAGCTTCAGCTTGGGTCGCAATATTTCCTTATGGTGTCACAAAATGGTTACCAACATCCACTCTTTTAAAGGAGGCCATGCACAGCTAAAAAATGGTTATGGATGCAACAAAGTATGACTTGATTCACAATGTTTCATTATTGGGCCAACAAAGAGCTACGAGCACCCATTTTGTCAAGAGGAACCCAACAGCAGCAACAAACTCTTCTACACCCGCACTTATATTCAATGGAAGATGAGTGCATGGTATTAGCTGGTCCAATTTTTTTGCTATTCTATTTCTTGCTGACAAGTTGTAGAAATTTTACAAGATTCTGTAACAACTCTGGAAGTGATAGCAAGCTCTTCTAAGGGAAACCATGCACAGCTAAATGATGGCAATCAATTCAACA